CCGGCCAGTTTATATCGTGGAACTTTCTTAAGCTGCATAAGATAGGGAGAATACATGTGTTTATTTATATATAGTATAAGTGTATCCTCCATGTTAATCTTCCCTCTCTATCTCCCATCCAGATACTGATTGATACTTGTATCTTCCTTGAGATTTCATTCCCAATACACTTGCATGTAAACCATTTACGTCTTGTGGATATCTGTGTGTGTATCTCAATCTAGTTCTCGAGGGCTTCAAACTTGAGATTGCATATACCACTAGGCTTTCCTCTGTATATCAACTTCCTTACTTAGGCCCTAGCTGGAATCAGGAGTAGAGTAAAGAATGGGAGTCGATAGTTGGGATTGTGTTGTCAATCCCGTGTTCGAGAAAAGATCATGAGAGCTCGAGACTAGAGGGAAGTTTGATTTGGTAAGTTAATTATATCAATAAGTTCCGATCCTGGATGAATGAAATATTAACTGGCAGCACTAAACTCGCCAAGTTTAAGACTCTTTAAAGTCATTTTATTTCGAAATCGAATGATAGTATAGGAAAATTCTGAAGCATTGAATGATACATTAGAGCTATGAATTGTAAGCTCTTCCACGTTTTGTTAAAATCGTTTATTAAAAATATTGACAGGTCGATTTACTAAGACTTTTGATTCTTGAAAAGGGAAGAGAAGTTCGGCGAATTGGTATGATTATGGTCCAAGCTTTTGATACCAAGAGGATGAGAGGACCTCGAGGACTTCACTTCTCAAACTCAATTTTGTCCTCGACTCACATTGCTGATATTGTGAGTGGTTGAGAATTCATTGATTTGATAAACACAGCACTGATTGTGATAAAGAGAAGAGAAGACGAAGTAAGGTGGGGAATTGTTCAAGCGACGTTGCGTTTTTCGATGGCTTACCTTACATTGTTTTCAATTGATTGACATGTTTGGGGTTTTCTGGTACCTTACCTAGTATTCTTGGAGCTGGGTAAATCATACCCCCTGATTTTTACACCCAGGAGTCTGTAGATATCGAGACGGGTGTGAATGAGTTCTAGGTAAACATTATTCGCAAAGATTGCGCACGTATTTTATGGATGGGTATGGATGCGTGTTGACACCACTGCACTGCACTGCCGTCGTCATTGTTGTTTTGCTGAGCAATTGGTCCATCCAATATCTGGTTGGATAAGTATTCAACTTGAGCCTCACTGTTTGTTTTTCTCTTTTATCCCGTCTTAACCGCTGGAGTTGTAATTCATGATTGGCTGGATAATTCTGGGCCAATCAAATAGATGTATAAGATTACGTTTTCTATTTACTAGGTATTGATGAGTTGGCCTTGCTGCGCAAATCAGCTGCGCTGATAAATGTAAAGTTTACATAACATCAGACGACTTTTCATCGCCTCCTTTGTGTATTTGCGTGTTTTACAGTGTTTTATACAAATTTAAGATGCTTTGCGAAGCGTGCGAGAAGATATTTTGTGGCCGTCATATCTTGAGAGGGTTATCATCCCCGAAGCGTAATCCTCATCATTCTTCTTTGCAATCAATTATTGATGCTTCGGCCTCTGGCTGTTGGATTTGTTATCGACTGCTGGCGTCTTTCAGCAAGAATACAGATATTAAGGATGCAATCGCAGGAATCTCTACTTTGATTAGATCCTCAACGTGGGAATTATATTACTTATCAGACCAACGACAACCTTGGTTCCTTAGTTTTAATTTTGGATATTATCATCATACATTCACCGTAATGTCACACGAAGGTAGGTCGAAGTTAAAAATCTTGCCATCCAGCTCTACTTATAGTTCAATCTAGAGTATGGTGCGCCAGACACAAATCATGTGTCGAATGCAGGCGATACTACAATGTCAGATGCTGCACTGGCACAAGCCTCGAAGTGGTATCGTGAGTGTTTATTGAAGCATACCCTCTGCACCACTTCACTGGCATCTAAGTGTGTCATGCCAACTAGACTGCTTCGAATTGATGAAGATGAAAAATACGTCAGGCTCGTTATGACAAGGGAAGAAGTGGTCAAAGACTCACACTATTCAACCCTAAGTCATTGCTGGGGAAACTCTGATATTTTAAAGCTTACAATTTCGAATCTGGAAAGTTTTAAGGCTGGAATCTCTCTCGAGCGACTCCCGAAGACATTTATTGAGGCTATATTTGTTGCTAGAAAGTTGTCCATTCCTTACGTGTGGATAGACTCACTTTGTATCATTCAGGACTCTGTCGATGACTGGCAGACTGAATCTGTCTCGATGGAAGATGTCTATGGCAACAGTAGTCTGAACATTATGGCTGAAGCCTCCAAAGACAGTCATGAGGGTCTTTCTCGATCTCGAGACCCAAAGATGTTGGAGCTGTGTCCAGCAGTCCAGTCAAATTGGGAAGATGCTGATAATGATCTGTTACATATATTCAACAAAGACATCTGGAGCGACAGATTGTACACTCAGCCACTGTTGGATCGAGGCTGGGTTTTGCAAGAACGTGCCTTGTCGCCTCGCTCACTCCATTTTTGTGATGGTGAACTACTCTGGGAATGCAGGGAGATGGCTTGCTGCGAAACATACCCAACAGGGCTACCAGAAATTTGCAAGAGGGAGAATTTCAAGCTCAGGCCACTTTCAGGATCCGATTCATATGAAAGGAAGTATCTGATAGACGGAGTTAAGAGGACCATGAAAGGCATTGCTTACGATAGATGGGTGCAGTGGATTCATCTTTACAGTCAAACACATCTAACGAAAGATTCGGATAAACTAATTGCAGTCAGTGCGCTGGCCAAGTGCACGCGGGCAGTTTTTGATGATGTCTATGTGGCAGGCCTTTGGAGATCTATGTTTGCCGATCAACTTGTTTGGTGGGGTAGTCACACTTCTCGTCCAAAAGACTATCGAGCACCTACTTGGTCTTGGGCCTCGGTCGATGGCTTTGTCGCACTTCCTTCAATCTTTCCCAGTAACAAATATCACATTGAGATCGATGAGGTACGAGTTACGCCCGTTTCCGGCGTCGATGACACTGGTTCCATTTCGGATGGATACTTTCGTGCGCGGGGACTGCTAATACGTGACAAACTTGTCAAAGAGCAGGGAAATCGTGGGACTCCCTTCCTCGCCGGGAGAGATGGAGATACAACTGTGACTGTAGTGCTAGATGCACCGTTCGACCGAGGCGAAGAAAGGGTGATAGTCCTTCCTATCTTGACAATTTTGTTTGAGCTGTATTTTGAAGGTGATTGCTTTAATGCATTACTTCTTCAGGAGCGGGCAATGTCACCAAATGGCTTCTATACACGGATAGGCTGGGCGTTGGTCGAGAATAGTTATGTAAAGAATAATATGGCCTTGGGCAACCCCCAAAGTTTGTCCGAGTTGAAGTTTCCAGGAAACCATGGCGGTTCAAGTTCTGAATCAAACAAGTCGACCCAAGATGGGGGAGGTGCAGATTTCGACGTTGAGTTGGATGAGAGTTTGTATCTAGAGGGTTCACTGGGATCTTTTGTGGTTTATTGAGAGGTGTTTGGCGGGGATGGATCGGATGGGTAGTTATGTGGGATGGGGGTATTGCAACGGAGAAGAAAGAGAGCCGGGCAAGTTCTTTTAAATTTTCGGGATTTTTCATATAGGGATGGAGGTATATACTTGGTATGCGAGTTTGAGGTCTTTTATGTGGTTTATATTTCTTATCAATCATCCAGTCGAATAACACCAGCTAGCTGTCATTGCGCGCTCAACATAATGTGAGCCAGTATATCGAATCGGATTATTGTAGAATCTTGAAAACAGACAGTTTGACATATGCAGACTGTAGATCTTTTACCCAGAACAGCTAGGTATATACATTGAGGAAGATTGTCAAACCTCGAAAGGAAAATATGAAGAAGAGATACTGGGTCAGCGTAATCGATCAATGTAGACTGAAAATTCTGTGGTACTATTGTGATATACGGAGCAGATATTGTACAGTACCTATACGTAGGAGAAAAACAGGCCGGAATTGACCACTGCGTAATGGTACGTGCACCCTCACCAAAACAACGCGTAGAGAGAGGTATTACGCAGTGGTCAATTCCGGCCTGTTTTTTCTCCTACGTATAGAGTACATACAGCTAGCTAGTTGTCGGTTAAGAAAGAGTGGGCCTTTTCCTTGGGATTAGATAGTCTGAAGTCAGTGAAGTAGACTAAGTGTATTAGAAATCTCTTGTGGAATGATTGATTTGCTGGTAGATTGCGAGTTGTAACTATGAGATTATTGAAAGTTATAAACTTTGGAAAAATGTAGAGATTACAAATAGATTTGGCCGTGTAGTGTGTGGTGGCAAGAGGACGTACTCCGTAGAGATTTAGATCCTTTGAATATCAAGATGTGAAATAGCGAGAAGTTAAGAGGATGAGAGTGTGAAACTTGGTAGAATTATTCAATCAGTCTGTAACGTCCAGACAAGTTTGAGCTTTATGTTTGATAGGTATTCTCCGCATTGCGGTAGAGTGGAAAATAGCTAGATGTTAGAAGAGTGAGGACCTGAGAGTGAGCTTTTCCGTGACACCTACCTAGGTACCAAGATCTTCATAGCTTTTCCCGTACATTGCCAGGGATTCCCTCGCATCACGTGAGAGTGTAAAGAGAAACAAAAAAAAGCAAAAGCCACATCGAATGTCTTGTCCCTTTTTTTCCCCTTCTGACTAAGAGAGGAGTACCGTAATTGATTGTAACTTACCAAGGTAAAATTCTCCAAAGAGTACAAAACAATAATTAACCTTCCTGTCGATACACATATCAATTTTTTATTACTGCTACTACTATTATTATTACTCTTCTTCTTTTATATTCACTTCTTCATATTCTCCCTTCGTCTTCATTTCACCCTGATCTGTTTGTCTGATCACTTCTTCTTCTTACCTACCTACCTATATCTTTCAAGGCTTAAACGGGAAATAGCGAACCGACGTACCGATTCTTTTCAGCAATCCAAATTAAACTTCCCTCCCATCGTTCTCGACCTTAGACCATCACCAAAGTCCAAAGCACAAACAATACCACTCCTTTCAAATACATCACACTCACATCAAACGTCAATCAGTCCAATTCAATTTGTTTCTGATACCATACCACTCAATTTCTAATTGTAATTAACGACCATAAGCTTCTTTGGTATGTTTCGACCTCTTTGCTTCGACTTCTCCTTATCCTGTCTGTCGCAACACGAATTGAACTAATTTCCCGACCCAGCTCACCTCGACTCAACCACACAACCACACCAACCCAACTACCTCCATCTACACCTACACCTCCACCTCTAATCATGCCTCAAGGTTATTCATCTCGAGATGTTGGTGACCCATCGCAAATCAAAAAGAATAAACAATCAATGGCAGATCTCAAATTAAGACGTCTTACTGAATTGAACAATCGACTCCGAGAAGATTTAGAACGCGAAAGGATCCCAGTCTCTCAAGCTGCTAAGAGGTAATTTACTCCTCTTTACCTTTGACCACTTGCGAAGTTACTTATACGTGATCTCTATTTAGTATTATTCAATATACCAGTCAAACTAAAGATTTTATGGTTCCATCAATTTGGGGTACCGTTGATAAGAAGGATGATCCATATGCGCCGCAACAAAGTGGTGGATGCTGTTTGGTGATGTAAGACAAGGAAGAATACATCAAGATAATTCGAAATGGAAAGCATACGAACGACCCGACAATGACCAATCATAATTTCATCAATCACTCAATTCATAAATCCATTCAGATACACCAATTTCGATGTCGGTCCTTCCGTTTACAAAAATCACGCACATCACCATACAGAGGGAGAGAGGGAGGTAGCAGACCAGAATAAAGGGCGTTATTAACGGGGCGTATTGGGGAAATCATTCACTTTTCAGCCTTCTTCGACATTATTTCCAGAAAGTCCAATGTTTCTTCTCGAGCCTTTCCGTTATAGGCCTGCTTTTTTTTCTTATGAGGATACCAGAGGAAGCATTAGCATATTTCACCAATTGGAGGTACATTTTCATTATCGACAGGGCACGATAGCAAGCTGGTTACTCTCGATTCGATTGTATCTACGACGTGTATCTTGAGGCGTGCGATTGTTTGAGACTTTTCTTGATGAAAATGAAAGGCAGGATAAAGTCATTAAGAAGGAAGATGAAGAAGTGAAATGGGAAAATGGGAAAAGAAGCATGTAATAATTTTTTTTTCGTTTCTGTTCGTAGTAGTTACACCTTTTTTCTCCCCAGGACTACCAACAAACATAGTATGCATCTTCATATGGACTTCTTTGTGTATAGGATTATTTCAATGGAAAGTCATTGGGATGGTATTGTTTTTTTTATACGAATGAAGAGACTTTTGTTTTTAATGCATTTTTGAGATATTATAATGTATTTGGCATTTATCTATCTTTACATCTGATGACTTTTGAATGAGAGTGAGTGAGTGAGGATTATGATGTGGATTATATATATACTTGTATACCTATATACCTAATTATTTGCTATTATCTCATGTTTTGAGATTTGAGATTTGAGATTTGATCTTTAATATCTATCTACTCAGGTAGGTAGTGTAATGTGATACCTAGGTATCTAATATCTAATAGTTATTAATCGAGACTCGAAACCCTCCGAGTGAAATTAATTTAATTTACCTTTTGGTCGGTATTTGATATCTACCTAGGTTTCTACCTACCTACCTAGTATCTAGGTATACATATAATCAATATACAGAGTATAAGACAAGGTTATTAAAGAATTATTAAAGAATGGTCTTTATTTCGTAGTTTAGAAATTTGTGTAGAATTTGTGTAGAATTTGTGTAATCTATCATACTCTACTTGTTCTTAGGAGGTATTCTTATTAGGTATCTTTGTAGGGACTCGGGAGGGGGAAGGTGGTGGAATTGGAATTGGAATTGAGATGGATGTGGGATTTAGATTTGAGATGGATGTGGGATTGGATTGATTAATATTTTGAATTGATATTTGGATTGATATTTGGATTGGTATTGGGGATTGGTATTTGGGATTTGGAGTTGGGATTTGGAGTTTGGATTGATATTTGGATTGGGATTGATATTGAGATTGAGATTTGGAATGGGTGCACTGTGGAATTCGTAAGTGGATGGCGTAATTTTCGTAGCCAATTTATTTGGTTTTATGGTTTTGGATTGGTATTTGAGGGGATTTTTGGGGGGTTTGGAGTTTGGTTTTGGTTTTGGTTTTGATTTGTATTTGGTTTGAGTGTTATTTTATATTAGGGTTGTGTTAGGTTATGTTGTTTGGACATAGGTATGTGTAGGTAGATATAGGTACAGGTACACGGTGGGTACTATGGGTATTATGGGTAAATAGGTAGGTAGGTGTGTTTTATGCTATTTGAATAGAATGGGATGGTATTGATTTATTGGGAGGGATTATATGGGAGATGAGACGAGAGATGGGAGATGGGAGATGGGGATTTTTGTTTGGTCTGGTCTGAGTTGGTCTTTAGCTGAAAGGAAAACGAAAGGAACTGAACTTGAATGGCTGGCTGGCTGTGAATCTACTTGCTCTACATTCGTACATTCGTAGCGATTCTTATGTTGATCATGTAGTGTAGAGGACTGTTGATTTTGCTTCTTCTTGACTCTTCTCTTCAGGTAGCTTGCGGTGGAGGTTGGAGATTGGAGATTGGAGATTGGAGATTGGAGATTGTGATTAGGGTTTAGGGTTTATGGTTTACTGGAGGAGAGTTGAGCTGAGGAGTAGGGTTGAGTAGATGGGTAGAGTAGATGGACAGAGGACTAGCTACGTGGGGATTTGACAGTTGATTGATTGATTGATGGATAGATGGAGTGGAGGGTTGATGGGGTGAAGGGTTGTTTGATGGGATGTATATGTGGTGCATATGACATGGTGTGATTAGGGATTGAGATCTTCAGAGTAAGTATATGTATACATACATGAATGACACTTGGTGAGTACCTAGGTAGCTGAAGAAAGTAAGCTAGGTAGATAGGTAGCCAGGTAGCTATTAGGTGGGTATTTATCTCGATCTGAAAATGTTTGTCTGTTTTCTTTTTCCCGTGACTTATGATTGCTTGTAAGTTAGTTGTTAGGTGTCTAGGTGTTGAGATCGAGGGTACCTAATAATGATCTTTTCCTGGAGAGAGGGAGAAATAGATGAAAAGGAATCTTATCTCAGCAAATCCTAGATCTTGATGTATTTAGATTTGTATGTATGTATATATGTATGTATGTATATATGTATGTATGTATATATGTATGTATGTATAAAGCTAGAACTAGGTACGTACATACATACATAATCCATCCATCTCATAATTCTCATCCCACTCTCTGCGCAAACTTAAGGGTTAAGATATAATTGTTCTAGGTATGTGTGTACTTTGTAGTAAGTATATACTATATTCCATACTCGTACCGTGAAGTCAGTAGTCAAAAGAGTAGTCCCAAGTAAAATGATCCAAGTCCACTCTGCACCTGCATCTATCTGCACCTGCATGCATCCATCTGTTCTGCATGACCCATTTCTATTCTGTTTCTGATCTTGTTCCTGTTCCTGTTTCTCCTCGCGCTCTTTTCCTTTGCTTGTTCTCCTGGCTGGCCTGGCTCTTGCGTGCGTGCGTGCGTGCGTCAAATGGGAGCTTGAGCCACTTTTGGAATGGCTTATCCTTACCTGGATTGGTAGTATAGACAAACCTGGCTATAAGGACCTAAAAATTTCAAGGCATAAATGCCTGTATACAAAGGTTGCTCGTATATACAATTTCAGTCTTGGCATTTAGCCTCGTTTTATACCTTCAGCCTTTTCATTTTTATTAAATGTATCATATGAATTTATAAATTCATCATGTGATAGGCTAAAGCTTGGGCCATTCCCACCAATTTTTATAAAAGCATTAAGAAAATTAAGACTATATACCTTTATATAAAGGAATACCCATTTAAATCAATTTTATCATATAAATTTTTGGGAATTCTAAAAAATATGCTTGTATAAAGGGGATGCCCGTATAGCCAGGTTTGTCTGTATTTGCGTAGTTTGGTGGGCTGGGCTGGGCTGGGCTGGAGTGGCTAGTACTTATGGAGTACTTATCTTGGTCCTGGGAGTTTGAAATTCTAATTCAGGATTGAGATTTGAGATTCGAGATTTGAGGGAGAGAGAAACTTCGGGAATTTTATTTTTGTTGTTGGGGTGGGTGGATGACACTGGATGTGGATGTGGATGTGGACGATGATGGATGGTGGGTATGGTTGATAGCTACTAGGTACTCTATGAAGAGGTATTGGACTGAGTACTGGGTATTGGATTGGATTGGATTGGGATGGGGAAGAGTGGCTAGGTACCGGTAGTGGTAGTGGTAGTGGTAGTGGTAGTGGTCTTGTAGACTACTTCGTATAGTACCTAGGTAGGTATATTATTTATGTGTCTAGGTAATAACTACGGAGAAGAGTGAATTTGAATTTATGAGTTCGATACGAACAAATCGAATAGAGTTGAACAAAATCAATCGAATCATCGATCGAGTACCGGCACTCAAAGTGATCAAGCAATCAATCAAGACAATTCAAATTAACCGGGGAAGGCGGGCCAAAGAAGAAGACAAAAGTTAAAACGATGCCTGTCTGGGTTGGCTCGTACAATAGGTAGGGTAGGGTTAGATAATTACCTAGGTAACTTACGATGTGTTGTAATAAATGCGTACAATTATACACTTTACTTTGTACTCTGTATAATAATTAATAATTACGAATATTTGTCATTGGCGCCGGTACTCGTATATTTATTTATGATTATAATTATCAATCGCGATTCGGATTCGGATTAGGATTAGGATTACGAAGATTGATTTAGGTTTTATACGGAGTCGTAATTGTATACCTACAGTAGTGGGAAATCGGATTCGTGTATCGAATTTGAATTTGAATTTGGATTTGCATCTGGATTTGGATTTGGATAAAATTGATAATATGGATAACGTCGATGAAATGAAGATTGTCACAGGGGATGTAGCAGGAGAGGAAAGGAGACAGAATGGGATGAGTCAAGTGGATGGGATTAAACTTCCTCGGGTGTCGATTCAGTTTTGTACGCAGTGTAAATGGATGTTGAGGGCGGCTTATGTACATGGATTTTTCGTTTGTTTGTTTGTTTGTTTCTTTTGTTATTTCTTGAGAGTGGTTTTGGGGGAGTTGGGGGATGTGTTTGTTTTGCTAAGGGTTGTTTGATTTCTTGTGTAGTTTGGAGAGGGGGGAATAGGATATGGATGGATGAGTGGATGGATGGATGACACTGATGGTTGTGGAGTGTCAAGCAAGTGCAGTTGTACGTACATATGCATCTGAGTAGATGTTTGGGAGAGAAATGAGTATAAAATGTTGGTGATGGGAAGGAAATGATCATTTTTAGAGGGATTATTAGGGGCGGGATGTCTTTTAAGCTTGATAGAGTTGTCTCCATTGGGAAAGAGGGGATTGAGTTGATATCTGGAGACTAGAGGATTTAGATGATGCTCTGAATTGGTGAGGTGAACAGAGCAGAGATATCTTGCGAGCTGCTTGATGGATTTATGAGATATCTATACGGTTGGAGTAGAATGGAGTGGAATGAAAATGGGCAGTATTTCTTCTCTTCCGAGTGGATTTAGGACACTCTGTTGATCGATATTAAATCCTCCGGTGATCGTCTTCCCTCATATGTACTACCTTTCGGATGTGGAAGATATCGTGGAGTGATATGATATCATCGAAGGAGGGAAAACGACTAGATTGTCTTTGCTGGCGTTTACTCGGGATTTTCCTCCTGACAGTGCCTTGATGCATTGATAGGATGTGGAATAAGTAATTCTCATCTATCTATGAAAATAGAAAGGGCCGAACATATCAGTGACATCGCATTTCCGTCTATCCGATGTAATTGTATACTATGAAGTCATTCTTGCTATTATTCTAGACGATTCACTTGCGGACTCAAATTTAGGTGCTGAGATATATCAGGCATTTTGATTCGGTAGTCACAGACACTGGCCCTAATCTGCATTTCATTCTCTATGGGAGAGTTAGGAGGGGTTCTTCGTACTTTACCCCTGTCTTTCTCAACCTGTCATTAACCTGTTCATTTATCTCTTCCCTCTCCTTTCTTATTGCTCCCAAACCTCTAATATCACACCTCTAATCTAACAAACCCGAAATAGTTTGCACAAGAACTCCTCTCAACCTTCGGAACAGATATCGGTGAAGTCGCTCTTCAACCTAGTACCGGTGGTACATTTATTGTCGAATTATTTACAGATGCGAACGCGAACAAGACTGCTACTAGTAATGTAGAAAGAGAAGCTGAAAAGAACGTGGATGAAGTAAAGGAAGTTAAGGTATTGAAACATACGCTTTGGGATCGGAAGAGTGAGGGCGGATTTCCTGGTTTGTCTCCTTTTTCGTTTTTTGTCTTCTTATTGCTCGAGAGATATAGAACAGAAGGTGGGTTTGGATGCGGAAAGAGATTGGGGTTTTCGAAGTGGATTTTGGTCAAATCTGGGAATTTATGACTCGATAGGTCAGATCACTGATTGCAATACGAATTTAGAAACGAAAGAATTGAAAAAGAGACTCAGGAATATCATTGATCCGTCAAGAGATTTGGGTCATGTTGATGGAAAGAAATGTAAGTTCTCTACCTCAGTTTTGTAATGCATCATTTCTCTCTTATTTTCTCGCCCTCGCTTTCTTTTCGTCCATCGTCAATGAGACTAATAGTCTCAGCAACAACATCAACGGCCACTCCTTCTACCTCCAACCCAGCGCCTACCAACCCACTCCCATCTTCAGCACAGCAAGATTCCGCGCCAACAGCGATCAAAGCATCTACCTCAAGCCAAGCTAACACCGTATCTCAACCGCCAGCTGCCAGCCCCGCCACTACTTCCGAGTTGATTGAAGCGAAGCCAGAAGAGGTAAAGGAGAAGAAGCAAGAAGAAGAGAAAGTAACTTTAAATGAGAGAGGTAAAATTGTAATCACGGGTCTGAAAGGAGAGGGAGGATTTGGGGTATGTAGACCGGGAGATGAGGACTGTGGTGGATTTTAAATTTAGGATTTGGGGAGAGGATTGAGAGGATTGAGAGGGACTATGATGCAGTCCATGCCACAGGATAGTCTGTTTGATTGCAACGGTTAGATAAAAGACCTATCTGGGCTTGCATCCTTGATATGACATTTGACGGGACCGTATGCCAAGTTTACCAGAGCCTAGGAAACGATATCTAGGACATCTTTCCCTAATGATCTATCAGATCCTGACATTTGATTGCACTATGGAATCCTATGCTAACTCAAAGAACATTTATGAAATTCATATATTCGATTGATACACAACAAGGAATCTGAGAATGAATACATATCTAGGACATCTAATATTCATTATTACCCAAGATATTTGTTGAACGAACTTGACATGGATTGTAGGGTGTCGAATTCAAAGATCCTACATATTCGAGGTACATATATAACCCTAGGAGATCATTTGATGATTTGGAAGGCAAGAAGTTTTTTCAAAATAGTTGAATATGTGTTGTTTATGTGGTTTATCTTAAAACGTGTCTTGATACTCGAGAGAATGAGGGGGAGAAGTCGAATATCGATCAAGTGAATGATACTCTTCAATTTCCTAGGGTTATTGAAAATTCAATATTCAACTGCTCTTCATGTATAGGTGCAAGTTAAACACTCGGAAAGCTGTATTGACCTTTGTGTCTTGGTGTATTCATTTATCATCGGGTTATTTTGATACTCAACTCACCCCTCCTGCCTATTGTGCCATCTTTCACCGCCAAATATTTCTTTCAAAGTCGGTTGTTGCCTTAAAAAAACAAAGCTTTAACCATTTTTAGTTTAGCTTTCCGCACACGAATGAACTCTTGTATGAAATTATCGCTATCGTGAATTTGTTAACGAAACCTCAACCCACTTCGATATCCATCAAGTCGGAGTACCTACCCAGCCCTGGACAATACTCTCTGGCAGGAACCGCTTCGTTTTTTCTGTTTTCAAAGATAAATATATTATCTTTGAAAATACTCAGCCAGATTATCGCAACACCCTACGAACACCACTAGAGTGCTGCCCAGCATGCCTCCTCCACCTCATCAAAAACCTGAGAATGTCCTCAAGCGCGCCCATGAGTTGATGGGTGTCGGACAAGCTCAAGCAGCTTTGGTCTTACTTCACGAACATGTTACTTCGAAAAGATCGAGAAATGCCCCGATTACTTCATTAGAGCCTGTGATGCTCTTGTTGGTGGAACAATCCGTTGAACAAAAGAAAGGAAAACTCGCAAAGGACGCTTTATACCAATACAAGAATATCAGTCAAAACACCAACATTGGCACAATCGAGGTAAGTGGCGGTAGCATTGATAACATGTGCGGTGCTAATGTATTTGATTTAGCTTGTCCTCAAGAAGTTCATCGAGTTGGCCGAAGAGAAAGTAAAGACTGCGCAAGCAAAGGCCGATGAGGTTCAATCGTCATTAGATACAACAGCAGCAACCGCAAGTGTCGATGATTTGGAAGCTACCGAAACCCCAGAGTCTATCCTTTTGTCAACAGTATCCGGCGAACAATCCAGAGATCGCACAGATCGCGCCATTGTTACACCATGGTTGAAGTTTTTGTGGGAGACATACAGAACTGTTCTCGACATCCTCCGAAACAATGCCAGATTGGAAATCATGTACCAAAGCACTGCTATGCAAGCATTCGAGTTCTGCCAAAAATACACCAGAAAGACCGAGTTCCGTCGATTGTGCGAATTGCTCAGAAACCATGTTCAAACTGCTGCAAAGTACTCTGCTCAAATGCATGCCATCAACCTTAACGACCCAGACACCCTTCAACGTCATCTTGAGACCCGTTTTCAACAATTGAATGTTGCAGTTGAGCTTGAGTTGTGGCAAGAGGCTTTCAGAAGTGTCGAGGATATTCACACCTTGCTCAGCCTTAGCAAGAGACCACCTAAGAATGTCATGATGGCCAACTACTATGAGAAGTTGACCAGAATCTTCTTGGTTGGTGAGAACTATCTCTTCCACGCTGCTGCATGGTCAAGATACTACAACCTTCTCCGCCAATCCGCTCAAATGGTTGCAGCTGGTCAAAGCAAGAAGTCGGATAACCCAGCAACCTCTGAGGCTGATCTCTCCAAGGCTGCTTCCTTTGTTCTCTTGTCTGCCCTCGCCATCCCTGTGATCAGCACATCTAGATCTCGTGGTGCTTTGGTTGACATTGATGAGCAAAAGAAGAACAAGAACTCTCGTCTTACTCATCTTCTTGGTATGGCTCAAGCTCCTACTCGTGCCGTTCTTTTCAAGGATGCCATGAGCAAGGGTCTTCTCAAGCGTGCTCGCCCTGAGATTCGTGAGCTTTACAACATCCTCGAAGTTGACTTCCATCCTCTTTCAATTTGCCAGAAGATCTCCCCAATTCTGTCTCAAATTGGTGCTGATGCCGAGATGGAGAAATATGTTCTTCCTCTTCAACAAGTCATCTTGACCAGACTCTTCCAACAACTCTCTCAAGTCTACGAGACTGTTGATCTTAACTTCGTCGAGAACCTCGCCAAATTCCCAGAACCATTCCAAGTTACCAGAGAAACAATTGAGAAGTTCATCATGAACGGTAACAAGAAGGGCGATCTCGCTATCAGAATGGATCACGCTACTGGTGTTCTTAGCTTCGACACTGATGTTTTCTCATCTACCAAGGCAATCCACGCAGGATCTGGCGCAGGATCTGCTGAGTCCGAAACCGCCTCTGTTCAAAGACTCCAAAACACTCCTTCCGAAATTGTACGAACTCAACTTACTCGTCTTTCTAAGGCTTTGTATATTACCGCTCAATATGTTGATCCTACTTTCAATGAAGCAAGAATCAAGGCTCGTGATGAAGCATACGCAAGAGCTAAGGCTGGCGCAGATGAAGAGCACAAGGAGACCTTGAAACGCAAAGAAACCATACAAAAGAGAAAGGAGGAAGCATCCGAAATTCAATCTCGTAAAGAGAAGGAAGAAGCCACAAGAAAACGTATCAAGGCTGCGCAACTCCAAGAAGCTGAGGACAAGCGTCTTCAAGCCGAACAAAAGAAGCGTGAGGATGACCGTATCAAGGCCGAATTGGAGCGTGTCAGAAAAGCAGAACTTCAAAAGCAAATTGATGATCTCAAGATTGGCAACAAGGCTCTTGACATCGATCTTGATGATTTGGACAACCTTGACGGCAACAAACTTCGTGCCATGAAGTTGGCTCAACTCGAGCGTGAGAAGAATGATACAAACGAAAAGTTAAGAATTACCGGTAAACGTATTGATCATCTCGAGAGAGCTTTCAGAAAGGAAGAAGCCAAGAAGTTGCCAGAAGACTATGAAGCACAAAGACAACGTGATTTGGCCGCCTATGAGAAGACTAAGGCTCAAACCTTGAAGGATGCTGAAGCCAAACACAAGGAAAATGTTGCTCTCAAGCACAGATTGGCAAGATTGGTTTCTCATTACGAATCTTTCCGTGATGATATTGCCGAGCGCAGACACGAAGAGTTTGATAAACGTCGTCGTGATGCCGAGAAGGAGCTTGAGAAACAAATTTCTCAACGTAGAAAGGAGTTCAAGGAACGCAAGATTCGTGAGAAGAGAGAGCGTGAAGAGCAAGAGAAAAAGCTTCGGGAAGAAGAAGAACGTGCTCAAAGGGAGAAGGCTGAGAAGGACGAGAGAGAAGAGAAGAGAAAGGCTGAGTTTGCAGAGCTCAAGGCAATCCGTGAGAAGGAGAGACAAGAGGCCTTGGAGATGGCTGCGTTACAAGAGCGAAGAGCCGAGGAAGCTGCAAAGAGAAGAGCTGAAGAAAAAGCTAGAGGGCCTCTTCGTGGCGCTCCTATTGAAAGATCTGATTCAACTGGTGAAAGGCGTGCTCCTCTTGCTCTTACCGGTGCTAAGTTGGGCTGGAGAGAAAAGGAGAGACTTCGTGCTGAAGGAAAGGAGGTTCCTTCCGATTCCGCACCTGCTGCCCCTCGCCCAGCACCATCTACCGAAAGAGCTCCTCGCCCAGCAGCAACTCCAGAACGTACTGGATCATCAACTGGAGAGAGACGTGCACCTCTTGCTCTTGCTGGTGGTAAATCCACCTGGAGAGAAAGAGAAGCAGCCAAGGGAGCAGCTAGTGGTCCAAGTCCATCAAGCAGAAGTGAGGAAAAGACCAGTGATGCTCCAGCTCCAGCTCCTTCTCCTGCGCCTGCGCCTAAACCTGCTGCTGGTGGTAAATGGGTTCCTCCACATCTTCGCAAGGCTTAGAGTTGAGGAGGTTATTTGTAATTAGTTTAGACAATGAGGAAAAAATGAATGATTGTTATGCTTTGAATTCTTTTTTGACTTTTGATTTGTTTGGTAATCACTAATGATGATGGATCGTTTGCTTATTCTATTATATTGTATATATATCTTCACATATGGTCTAATAATGCTTGATTTGCGTATTTGTTCTAGGTGAGATCAGTTGAGACAATGTATCGTAGAAGCATGATTATTACATTTTGATTCTTTAATACTATTTCCTCCCTCTTCCATTCCTCTCTCCTCTTCCAATTCGCTTCTTCCTCCTCCCTCGCTCATTTTCATCGCCCTCCCTTGATCACATCTACCTTGAATATCTTTTCTCCTGCCTACCTCGAGAATTCTTGGTGTATTAATATCGATATCGATGCGAATACAAAGGATTATTTAGTATCACTTCAATCACTTAAGTGAGTGGGTGAGTGGGTGAGTGGGTGACTGACTGGTTAATTAATTGATTTACTAACTAACTTGAGAGAAACAAACGAGGAACCGGGAGTTTGAAACGTTTCAACATTGATAGTTGAAAGCTTCTGGTTGGATTGGTTGGTCGGTTGGTTGGTGACTTGTCACTGATTTACTGGTTACTGATTTACTGGTCACTTCTTCACCCGTCACTTAGGTCTCTTGTAAAGGTGCAGTGCGATATACTATGTCATGCTACCCTACGCTACAATAGTACAAAGGGGGAGTGGAATGGATATGGAGATTTA